TTTGCCAATGAAGTTTTCAGACACAATGTTGAAAGTGATAACTGGCTTCTTCCAGGGCCCACACTCAAATAGAAGAGGGAGTTGAACTGAAGAAGAAACTCTTCTGTTTTGTAAATTAGGATAGAATGGAAAATAGAGATTGTGACAGCCTTCCTAGCTCACTGAAGGCTCCATGCCTCAGAGTACTGATCGCCACCTTGGTGCTAGCAGCAAGAGGTGGCCTCAGTGTACAGGTGAAGTCAAGGATGTGGCCAACAAGACATTCTGTGGACCCCTCAGGAAGAGGAAGACGTGTGTTTTATGGTTTCCCAGGCTGATAAAGATCTTAGAGTATGTCACTCAGACTTTAGCAACTAAATGAATCAGCTCAAACACCCTGATACTCAAAGGATAATGAGGCCTTCCCTGAAGATATTAATGGGTTTTGATCCCATGGAGGGAGCACCAATAATATTAGCAGCAAACCTCTGGGATTTTCACCCCTTGTGCTGGGAAAAACATGCAAAGGAATGGCTACAAGGTGTGAACTAGGCTGAGAAATCAACCTCACTTTTAAGAATGAAATTTCTAATGCAAAATAAAGATGCTATGGGGGCTGGTGTAGGGGCCTAGCAAACTCATCATCTGCCTGGGTGCTGACATCCCATGTAGGTGTTGGTTCATGCCCTGGCTGCTCCACTTTCCTTCCTTCCTTCCTTCCTTCCTTCCTTCCTTCCTTCCTTCCTTCCTTCCTTCCTTCCTTCCTTCCTTCCTTCCTTCCTTCCTTCCTTCCTTCCTTCCTTTCTTCCTTTCTTCTCTCTCTCTCTTTCTTTTTTTCTCCACTTTTGACCCAGCACTCTGCTTGTGACCTAGGACAGCAATGGAGGATGTTCTGATATCTGGGTCCCTGCACCCACTTGGGAGACCATGAAGAATCTTTTGGCTCCTGGCTTTGGATCAGCTCAGCTTTGGCCACTGTGGTCATCTGGGGGCTGAACCAGCAAATGGAAGACCTCTCTATCTCTGTTTCTTATTCTCTCTGTAAAATATGCCTTTCAAATACAAAATAAACATCATTTTAAAAAGATTCATTTCTTTTTATTGGAAATGCGGATATACAGAGAGAGGAGAGACAGGAATATCTTCTGTCCAATGGTTCACTCCCCAAGCGGCCACAATGGCTAGAGCTGAGCCAGTCCAAAGCCTGGAGCCTGGAGCTTCTTCTAGGTCTCCCAAGTGGGTGCAGGATCCCAAGGCTTTGGGCCACCCTTGACTGCTTTCCCAGGCCACAAACAGGGAGCTGGATGGGAAGCGGGACTGCTGAGATTAGAACTGGTGCCCATATAGGATCCTGGCACATTCAAGGCAAGCGCTTTTGCCACTAGGCCATGGCGCCAGGCCCGACTCCCAAGAAGTCTTAAAAAGCCTCACGATTTGTGGTTTGTCTCTGGAACACTAATTCTTCACATATTACCTTTTTTTAAAAAAAAATGATTTATTAGTTTGTTTGTTTATTGGAAATTCAGTTGCAGAAATTCTATCCACTGGTTCACTCCCCGGATAGCCATAACTGCAGGGTTGTTGAATCCAGGAGCTTTAGCCACATCTCTCATGTAGCACGTTCTTTCAAAATTCCCCTTTCATCTGAAACATTTCAAGTCACAGTGAAAAGCCCCACATCTACATCGGATGGAAGGCACCAGCTGAGCTCTCAGTCAATGGCAAGAACCAACTGCCAGCCATGCGAGGGAGCCATCTTCTAGTTCAAGTCCAACCAAGGCTGCCAACCAGCATAGTAATTAGCATTATCTGCAAGCAGCTGTTTGAGGGGCCTGAAGCACGAACTCCCCAGCTGAAACAGGAAACAGAAGAAAATGTTGCTTGGAAGCCATTAAATGTTATGGCAGTTTATTAGCAGCGATGGAGAAATAGACTAGTATCAGAGTTTTTCAAACTGTTGCAGTCAGCTTAAATACTTATCAGTTAAGCATGGCAATTGGATATCTTGGTAAGAATGTGAATCAACTAGTATTTTTCTACTTTGTTAGGAAGAGATTCTGGTGGATGTGTAGTGTTAGGCTTTTAAAAAAAGCAAACAACTTGATGTGTAATCACTTACCATTCAGCCTTTGACAATGAGCAATGTGTTGGTTCTAGAGTATCCATGGTGTTGTGAAAGTGCTACCATGGTCGGCTTTGAAACATTTCCATCATTTCAAAAACAAGAAGCCCCATACCCATCAGCAGTCACTCCCCATTTCTTACCCACCTCTCAGCTGTATTCAGCCACAAATGTACTTCCTGACTCAATAGACTCACATACTCTGAATGTTTCCTGTACGTGATTCCAGTTCCTTGTGAATATCCCTGGTACAGCAGCAACACATTACTCAAGTGCTTGGGCCCCTGCCACCCACATAGCACAATTGGATGGACTTCTAGGCTTTTGGCTTCAGCCTGGTCCAACCCGGGGTATAGGAGCCATTTGGGGAGTGAGCCAGCGGATGAAAGATCTTGTCTTTGTCTTTCCTTCTCACTCTGTACCTCTTCCTGTCAAGTAAATAAACCTGTTTAAAAAGAATCTAACAATGATGTTCTCTTCTCTTGTTCTTCCTGTGTTCCTGTCCCTGTGTGTTCTTTTCTGTTTCTTTCCGTCTCTATCTCTGATGATTCAGCTAAAAATTTGTAAGCCTTCTTCAGACACTACTACTGTTTTCATCAATTTTCTGTATATTTTTATTTCCTTTATTTCACCGATTTGGCTATTAATCACTACTGCTTTCTTTTAGTCACTTGTTTTAAATTTGCTTTGATGCCTGTTTCCAGGAGCTTGAGGTCAAAGTTCACATCACTCACTTGTAATGTTCATTGTCAACATGAATATGTTGTAAAATTTCCTCTAAGTTCCTTAAACTGTGTCCTCCAAGTTTTGTTTTACTGTTGGCTGTGGTTTTTTTTTTTGCTTTTTTCATCTCAAATATGTTGTAACTTCCCTTTGATTTATTTTTTATCTAATTTTCTTCAAACCAATACTTATTTATGAATGTGTTGTTCTGTTTCTATATATGCTAGTTTCCTTACTACCGCTTATTTCTATTTTAATTCCATTGTGGTCAGATATCATACTTTTTATGACTTCAATATTTGCAGATCTATTGAGGTTTGTTATGGCATAGCATATAATATCTCATGAGGTGTATTTCTCACACATTTCAGAATATGCATTCTGCTGTTATGGGGTGAGGTGTTATCCCTGGTCCCAGGTACAATGTTGAATTCACTGCCATCTCCAGGTGATTTAAATGATTGAAATACCCTTCTTCATTTTCCAAGTGAAGGTAAAAAAGAGCAGTGAATCTGTACGGACTCAGGTAAAGGCAGCTAAAGAACATAGGAAATTCCAGAGAAGCTGATTGTGGAGAAAAAAATAATAATAAATAAACCACCAGAGCAACATTTCTCTATGGCTGAAAAGTCCCCTCCCTGGCAACAGATGCCTGAAGGAAAGGAATAACAGGCTACTTTAGAGGCCATGATGCAACCTGCATTGAAAGCGCTCATGGTCTGACACAGCAGTGAGAAGCCACGGGTGATGAGGGGCCTTCCGACTCAGCCTCCTGAATTGTCATGCCAACTAATTGAACAAGTTCTGCTAGGAGACTAAACGCCCGTCAAAATACGGTTTGTGCTTCATAATACTATGGCAATCCTCCTTTTATTGGCGATTCTTGACCCAATGTCGAGGTGGTGTTCTCCCTCCAAACACCACATCTGTCATCCAACCAAGATACTGAGCAGTTACAGCATCTTAAAGGTCCAGGTGGCAAAAGGGACCTTTGCCCAGTGACTGCTGCTGTAGCTGAAGAAAACGCTTCGAGGAAATGATGCAATTTAAAGGATTAAGCCTTTTATGCATTCAAGGTCTTGCTTGTGCCAGGATGACACTTATACAATGCCTGCATCCTGTTCCACGGAACCTGGGCTTGAGTCTTGACTCCAGAACCCAATTCCATCCTCTTGCTAACACACACCCTAAAATACAACAGATGATAGCTCATTTACTTGGATTCCCTGTCACTCATGTCCGATACCTGCTTCAACTCCTGGCCTTGCCTAACCTGAGCTGCTGCAGGCGTTTGGGGACTGAATCAGCAGATAAAAAATAATCTCTTGTTTGGGTCCAGCGCGGTAGCCTAGCTGCTAAAATCCTCTCCTTGAACACACCAGGAGCCTATATGGGCGCTGGTTCTAATCGTGACAGCACCACTTCCCATCCAGCTCCCTCACTGTGGCCTGGGAAAGCAGTTGAGGATTGCCCAATGCCTTGGGACCCTGCACCCACATGGGAGACCTGGAAGAGACTCCGGGCTCCAGGCTTTGGATCAGCTCAGCTCTGGCCATTGTAGCCGCTTGGGGAGTGAATCCACAGATGGAAGATCTTCCTCTCTGTGTCCCCTTCTCTCTTTATTTGTATCTACCTTTGCAATAAAAATAAATAAATCTTTAACAAAAAAAAAAATAAAATACCTCTCATTTATCCTTTTATCTGTTATTTACAAAAAGTTAACGTCATATTTAAGGATAACAGAATTAAAAATGCTTATTTCTGTGCACTATTATTTGAAAATCCCTATGTAGAAGGAGTCTCGCAAAAGTTGATGAAAAATGTATATTACAAAATACTATGGATTTCGATTTTTTCACAAGAATACATTTCTGTCTTATTTTTAATTTTATTAGTTGTATTGCACATTAGTCTTATTAATGTGATTAATTTTGTTACATATCCTGCTTGCTGTTCCATTGGTCTCTGATGTACAGACTCAGGCCATACTGTCTTAATTCCTGGTCCTCTATGGTAAATCTTAAAATGTGATGGTGTCGCAGAGTCTGATAGCTGCCTTTCTGTTTTCGGGGGGAATAGTAGGTGAGTCTTTTGATCAGCAGGAACAAGATATAGTTCATGTAACCTACACCTTGTTCCTGAGGTTATAATTGAAAATTATGCGAAAGATATGTTTCCGTCTGGGAATCATACGTGACAGAAACTTGGCTGTAACCTGCCCATTGTCGCTTCTGTAGCTCTGCTTGCTTGCCTGCCTGCCTGTGTAAAGGTCACCAGGATGTGGTTTTTGTCTTTAAAAATGCATCGCAGCGACAGTAGGGGCTGTCTCCTTCAGCCTTGTTCTGAGCGGAGGCAGCACCGGCTGGCTAATAAAGACTCCCCAAATTCTAAATTGGCTTTGGTGATCTTGTACACTGTGCGCCCCATAACATTTGGAGGCCCTAGCGAGATTTTCTGCTTCGCAGTGTTTGGTGGCCACCGGGTCTCCGGCCAACCACTGAAAGGCATTGCTCAGCGCTTGGCCGAGACCAGTGTCCACACAAGCAGCCGACCAAATTCTAACATTGTATTCAGAGTCATCTAGTAACGTCACTGGTGAGTGAAAATCGGTTTCTGCTGATTTCATCTGGTTGGGGGTCGACCCATCGTGGGCTGTTGGAAGGTTGGAGGCAGCCACAGGTTCTGCAGCCTGAGTCTAGGGCAAGATGGTCACCCAGGACTCTGTTTTTTGTTTTGGTTCTTACTGTGATTGTGGCAGTGTATAGGAATGTTATGTTGTGTGTTAGAGTGTGTCTGTCTTCTGTCTGTGGTGTTTGTCATTGAAAGTGTTTTTGTTCTGAGTTTCATTTTGTCTCATTCTTAGATCTGAACATGTGACAGGTGTTGTGAAAGTATGGCTTGTCAGGCTTTAAGGTTGTCATCAGGTTTCTTAATTGAGAGTGTGGTGGCCATTTGTCTGTCTTGATGTGTGTCTTTTTGTTAAAACACTGTGGTTTAACAGGACTGGTACCAAGATTACAACTACTAAGTCAGGGCTCTATTCTAACAGTCCCTTAGGGTGTATGTGCATTTTGACAATAAAAGGTTTTGTTTTACAGTAACACTGTGTGGCCTCAACACCACTTGAGATTGAATGAGATATGGCCTTTGCAATAAATCTTCATTCTATACCACTCTCTTCCAGCTAGAGTTGGTTTAGAAAAATTTCAAAGTTAACATTAACATAACGGTAAATGTGCTGACTGATGGATGTTTCCTGAGTCATCTTAGTACAGTTAATAAGTATAAATTGGGCAAAGGTGAGAGACAACTTGAGTCTGTCTCAAATGCGATGTTAAATTTAACATGGTCGTATTTAGAAGGGTTGTTTCAAATTGTAAATCACAGTCATTGGAAGATGGACTGTGGTTACAAATCTAAAAAGTATCCACAGTGATCCAGAGGGTTCAGAAGAAAGAAAATTTTTGATTTCATGTGAACCTTCTTGCATTCTTGGTTACATTAGCAGGAGAATGAAAAGGATGGGAATTCACAAAAGATTTGAAGAATGAGTCTTACTGGTATATCTAAATTAGTTCATGTAAATTTGTTAAATTATTAAAAGTAATAAGATGAAACTGTCAAGTTATGATTGCTTGGGAAAAACAGATTTTGAAGAGTAAAGTTTGCCTTTGGATTATTTGAAATATTTGAGTGATCACATTATGAATGTAAAAAATAGATCTTTAACCTGTAAACTGTAACTGTAATCTATAACCTGACTAAATGGGTCAATATTATTTTGTGGTGGTGAGAAGTCTTATTTTAGTTGGATATTTTAAGGTCTCTTCTGCATATTTGTTTGGTTTGGTTCCTCTGACTTTGGGATTTCCAGATGGACCCCTGGAGATCTCAAAGTGGGGGAAAAAAAGACAGAAAACTGTGTCGTACTTCTGGTAAAGGTAATGACTAATTTAGCTGTTTGGATTGTATGCAAAATATTTAGCAAGATGTGAAATTATACTATATTATTCTGTGATACAAATGTACTTAAAGACTGAAGAAATTTATTGTCATATTGCTACTATTGTTATCTTGTTGAAAAGGGACAAAAGTTTTGCAAAATCCTTTTTACTTCTGAGGATCAGGATCGTATTGAAAGAGAAACTCAGAAGTTAATCCTGGGGTCAAATGGCTAGCCCGCTGCAGAGATGGCCTGGCTTCCTCACTGCCTTCCCTACTGCCCAACCCAACTGAGACCCAAACACTGGTCAAGGTAAGGGGGCTCTTGATCAGTGTCACCAGACTCTACTGAGAGGAGTCCAAGAGTCAGCTAGCAAGCCAACCAACCTTTGTAATGTGAGCAAAACTGTTCAGTGGCCTGATAAATCCCCCATGGTATTTCGTATCTCTTAGAGGCATACTACTTGTACACCCTGATAGATCCTGAGGTGCCTGAGAAGAGGTGCATTATAAATGCAGTCCAGTTGGCCCCTGATATTTAATATAAGTTACAGAAGTTAAAAGAGTTTGAGTAAAGGCTGTTCTCTGAATTGGTGGAGGTAGCCCAAAAGGCCTACCTATAGACTAAGACAAGAATGACCAGTTTAGGAAAAGAAACTATCACTCATTCCTTCTTTGTGATGCCAGAGTACCTATAAAATCACTGTCTTCTGAGCCAACACATGATTGTTGAGACATTCTGAATTCTCTGACAAACCTGAGGACATCTTGACAGACATTCCATAACCTGACCTGGATGAACTCCTGTTTACCGATGGAAGCAGTTGCATCATCGATGCGATCACACATGTGGGATCAGTGGTAGTCTTACAAGATCAAGTCATAGGCTCAGGCACTAGGACATGAGACACCTGCCCAGAATGCTAAATTAATTGGCTGACCCAGGCCCTGAGATGGGGCAAAAACAAAACTGTCAACATCTGGAAGGACCAGATATGCCTTTACCACTGCCCATGTCCATAGGCTCCTTTATCAGGAAAGGGGACTCTAAATCTCTGGAGGAAACAATAAAAAAAAAAAAAGTTCTTGAGATACTAGCATTATTAGAGACTATGTGGTTGCCTAAAAAAAGGTGGCCATTATTCATTGTTAGGAACATCAGACCAATAACTCTCTGAGTTAGAGGAAATACATTTACTGACCAAGCAGCCAAAGAGGTCGCACAAAAACCAGTGGGGCTCCTTCAGATGCTCCTGTTCCTACTGGAATGAACACTGCCACAGACTCCCCAGTACTCGAGTGAAGAACTGGGTCTCGAAAGAACTCATAGAGCAGAGACTGACTCCAAAGGATGGATGTGCATTCATGATGGGAAAATCCCGAGGCATTGGGATAGGAACTAGATGAACAATTGCATCGTAGTACACACCTGGGCAGCACTAAGATGCCTGAGTTGTCGCAGTCACTACTGCATTACTGGACTAGATCAAGAAGCTCAATAAGTTTTGTCTGATGCCACATCTGTGCCCAGGTAAACCCAGGACCACGAGGTGAGTTAACTCCAGGAACCAGACTGCAGCAAGCACTCCGAAAGAACATTTGTAGATTGATTTCACTGAGATTCTACCAGGAGAATATGGGTACTGGCACCTCCCTGTGCTAATAGACACCGTCTCTGGCTGGGTAGTCATTCTCCACTAAAACAGAAAGAGCTCAGGTAGAAACCTAGAAGTTAGTCTTTGAAACGGTCCCCTGATTTGGCCTTCCTCCAACCATGGGGTCCCCCAATAACCTGGCGTTCATCACCCAAACCACACAATTGTTAGCAAAGGTCTTAAATAAATATTAATTGGAAGTTACACTGTGTATAAGGGCTTCAGCGTTCAGGACAGAAAAACAGAATATTAATTGACCAAATTAAAGAGACTGGCAAAAACTGGGTAAGCCTCCTTCCCTTTGCCCTCCTATGAACCCATTTATGTACCCCTTATGTACAACTGTATGAGATCATGTTCAGAGAGCCATTGCCTTTAGTCCCCAAGTGGGGGAATAAAAGATTGGCTAAATTAAGCAACGATTCCCTTATTAAGTCATTACAGGCTCCACAAATTTTCCTACAACCAACTTCTGCCCCGGTAAAAACAGCATATCCAGGCCCAACAAGGACAGCATCTGACTCTGCTTCAAGTGAACTGCAGCTTGGGAACTTGGTGTGGATTAAGAAACATCAGCCTTCCACCCTCGAACCACAGTGCACTGGACCTCTGCCCATAATTCTGGTTGCTTCAACTAAAGTAGAATTTGCAGGAAAATGTCACTGGATCCAACAGACCCATGTCTAGAAGGCCTCCTGGGCTCGACCCTGGAAAATTGGACTGTGAAGGAAATGGAAAATCCCCCTGAAGATAAGGTTTTCCTGAAAAACTCCCCAGTGCCTGTAACTCTCAACCCTAATTGTTCATGGAACAAATGGGGGCAGGCTTGGTTTGCATGTACTGTAGGAATTATTCCTTAGAGCACAAAGGTTGCACTCGTGAACACCCATGCAGAGTTGTGTGTTCTTGTCCCCCAGTACCCCAGCGGAAGGAGAACTCCTCGAGTTAACTCATCAGGAGAGAGAGCTCCTGTCCTGGTTCTGACTTTAGTAGGATGAGAGTAACAGGCTCCACTGCTGTTGGAGCCTCAACTCTGGTCATAGGATGCTAGACCTTTAAGACTCTGAGCAAGCAAATTGACTTAGATTTTCCTAAATTAGAGTCTTCAATATCTAATCTGGAGTCCTCTCTAAATTCCTTGGCTAAAGTAGTCCTCCAAAATAGACCAGAACTGAATCTACTGTTTCTAAAACAAGGAGGTCTATGATGACTGTAGGGGAAACATGTTGCTTCTATGCTAATCATTCAGGAATGATCAGAAATTATCTTACAACAATTGGCATAAAAGTATATTCTCCTCTCTGCCTTAGCTGGCCTGCTGGTCCCAAAATTTCTAGGACTGCTTGTGGGTCCGGGTCCATGTGTTGTAAATTGTTTGACTAAATATGTAACTAGCTGTATCTAGGCAGTAAAACTCATAGTCCCTAGGACTCACTACCACGCCCTTAGTGACCTTAACGTGGAGTCAACAGTTTGACTCCCCAGAAAAAACAGTGGGGAATGTTGCAGGGAGAGTAAAAAATTACGAATTAGTTTCTGGTATCTGTCTTTGTTTTAAGGGGTAGTAATAGCTGAGTCCTTTGATCAACAGAAACAAGATGTAGTTTGTGTAACCTATACCTTTGTTTCTGGGTGTTGTAATTGAAAATTCTGAGAACTAGGATCCGATGTGGTAGCCTAATGACTAAAGTCCTCAATTTGCATGTACCAGGATCCCATATGGGCACTAGTTCATATCCTGGATGTTGCACTTTCCTTCTGGCTCCCTGCTTGTGGCCTGGGAAAGCAGTAGAAGACGGCCCAAGGCCTTGAGACTGCACCCAGGTGGGCGACCCAGAAGCAACTCCTAGCTCCTAGTTTCAGATTGGCTTAGCTCACTTCCGGCCATTGTGGCCACTTGGGGAGTGAACTAGCGGATGGAACATCTGGCTGTCTGTCTCTCCTTCCCTCTGTAAATATAACTTTATAATAAAAATCAACAAATCAAAGGAAAAAAAA